CATTTATATTTCCGGCCCTCGAGACAGAGACAGAGCCTCCATCCGGCCCCTTAGCCAAAAATTTTGAAGACCCCTGATCTAAATCACTAAATCAAAGCAATTTTAGTAAAATTTGAAGCAAGCACAGGGGTGCGCTAAAGTCCACTCATGCAGCAGGCGCAAGACTGACGGTCCGGAAACGCCCGAATGATAATCCTTTCATCGTGTTCTCGGACCGCCAGCATAATGTTGCACGAGAGGGAGTGCAACCAGCAGAGACTGGTTGCACTATTGATCCGCGGGGCGCGGTGCCGTCGGGGCCGAGATGCGCTCCGATAGCAAACCGAAACTTAAAAGCCCGTCGAATTTGTGCGGTTTTTTCAGAAAGCCGTAAAATGCTGCGCGTGCCTTCTATCGCTGTGCAATTTGTTGACTTCGTGTTTTTCGAAGATGCTGAGCAATTTTCTAACTGAAACCGTGCCCTTAAGCACAACATTAAAGAAGTTAATTACGCAAAAATAATTAAAAACTTAATTATCCTGGAGTTTAATGATTTTTCTAAATAGGCCCCGGCCCAGGACCAAAACGTCACAACCCTTTCTTTGTTGCGACGCGCAGTTTTCGCAATATCGAATTTGTCCACTTTTCGTAAAATACCCTGCACAGACCGCAGTATTCTTTCTTTCGCGGCTTTTAAAAATAAATGGGTTCGAATTAAAATTAAGCACCCTGTATATCTATTTAGGACAGCACCTTTCGAGGCCCTCTAGCACGCCACAATTTTGATTTGTTTGTCTTTTATCAAACATCATGCCTTTAACAGATAGATGTATGTCAGGGACCGGGATCCCACACTTTTGACACAAAATATGTGTTATGAGCAGACTTGTACGCAACGAGTTACGAGCAGAGGTCGGCATTTTAGGTCGCCCTCACTCACCCTCACCCTCACAGCCACACTCACCTAAACCCCTCACTCACCCTCACCCTCACAGCTACACTCACCTTCAGCCCCTCACTCACCCTCACCCTCACAGTCACACTCACCTTCAGCCCTCCACTCACCCTCACTGAACCTCACACACTCACCGCCCTCACGGCCCTCACGGCCCTGACGGCCCTCGCGCCACTCGCGCCACTCGCGCCACTCGAGCCACTCGAGCCACTCGAGCCACTCGCGCCACTCACGCCACTCACGCCACTCACGCCACTCACGCCACTCACGCCACTCACGCCACTCACGCCACTCACGCCACTCACGCCACTCACGCCACTCACGCCACTCACGCCACTCACGCCACTCACGCCACTCACGCCACTCACGCCACTCACGCCACTCACGCCACTCACGCCACTCACGCCACTCACGCCACTCACGCCACTCACGCCACTCACGCCACTCACGCCACTCACGCCACTCACGCCACTCACGCCACTCACGCCACTCACGCCACTCACGCCACTCACGCCACTCACGCCACTCACGCCACTCACGCCACTCACGCCACTCACGCCACTCACGCCACTCACGCCACTCACGCCACTCACGCCACTCACGCCACTCACGCCACTCACGCCACTCACGCCACTCACGCCACTCACGCCACTCACGCCACTCACGCCACTCACGCCACTCACGCCACTCACGGCCCTCACGGCCCTCACGGCCCACACCGCCCTCACGCACTCACAGCCCTCACGCCACTCACCGCCCTCACGCCACTCACCGCCCTCACGCCCCTCACCGCCCATGCGGCCCTCACACCCCTCACGCGCCTCACGCACTGATGGCCCTCACGCCACTCAGGCCAGCCTCAGATGGGGCAATTTCGCCCAAAAACTTTACGTCGTAACACCAGCAACACGGGCCGCCCGGTATCACACGCAGCAACCAATTGCTGCAATTTGCCATCGTCATCATAAAATTTTATTTTTCTTGCACTATTTAGACAGAATTACGCTTTATAAACGTGTTTTTATGCATTTAAACCTCGTTAAGAATACTAATGCACCTTTCTGAAACAGTTGATTTCCAAAAAAACGATCGATTTCAAACCAGAACCAAGTCATTCGGTGTCATCATCACCGGCACGAGGTATCACGTGAAAATTTTGCGTCCCTGATTGGATGCAGCCGCTTCAAACGTATTCGAATTGCTCCGAGTTGCTTGCTTATTTCGAGCCGGACCCGATCTCAGCAATTCGTGTCGATCTAGGGAAAGCTAGAGAACAACCCGCCATTAACACCAAAATTGCTAAGAAAGATGCTCGATCTGAAGGGGGCCTCACGCACTCACCGCCCTCACGGCCCTCACGGCCCTCACGCCTCTCATGCCACTCACTGCCCTCACGCACTCATGGCCCTCACACCCCTCACGCACTCACCGCCCTCACACCACTCACGCACTCATGGCCCTCACGCCACTCACCACCCTCACGCCCCTCACGCACTCATGACCCTCACCGCCCTCACGGCCCTCACCGCCCTCACGGCCCTCACGGCCCTCACCGCCCTCACAGCCCTCACGGCCCTCACCGCCCTCACAGCCCTCACTCACCTTCACACTCATGAATTTTCCTGGTTCAGAAACTCACTCACCGTCACCTCACCTGTGAAGATGAGGGTGAGTGAGGGTGAGTGAGGGCCCTCATGAGTGAGGTTTGCCGAGGTATGGTTACGAGTAACTGATTGCGAACGAGGGAAACTAACTGACGAGAACTTCGAACGACAACTGCTGTTGAAGCTTAACAAACCACTTTGAACATATGTATGTATTTCTTTTTTAAATTTCGTAATAAGAAGTTAGAAAAACTAGCGTGAAAAATAATCAATCACTTGCTGGTATTTTTTTCAATTACTTTTGTGATGCAGTAATTAATTACTCTAATCAGTAACATTTTTCAATAAAATAACTGTAATCGGTTACTTTTTTTCTTTCACTAACGCGTACAAGACTGGTTATGGGCTGTTTCTTTATGAAAGAATTTACACGAATGAGCGACACGCTGGAAACCTTACACGACATAAAAAATAAATAAGAAAATAAAACATGAGACGACCCGGCGGTGCTCGAACCTGGGTCGGTGCGTAGCCCAGCAGCTCTGGGAGCATTGCATTTTCGGAAAAAATTATACAGTGGCGCATGGAAGAACGTGCCGGCAAAAGCAGTGTAATGTCAAGCCATGTGGTGGAATGTTCGACACATTCTGAGGTCCCTGGTCTTTGTCAGCATGATCAAGGTTGTGTATCTTTTGTTTCTTTTTTTCGTTTAGAAAGAAATATAGAACTTTACAAACGTGTTATTATAGGGTGATTACTATTTATCTTGCTGTAGTGATGAGCATAACTAAGTGTAAGGTATGGTCAAGTTGTCAGTGACGTGATTGCCTCGCAAACCTTTTCCTAGGCTATCCCCGTCCGCAAACTGATACATTTAATCAAAATGGGAGAAATGTCCACAAACAAACACCGAGCCAAAAGTTATTATCTCTCCAATAACGAATCTAGTAACTCTTCCCCCGGGTACAATGCTGGATCTTACAGTGCAAGTTTAAGATTTGCCGTTATAAATTCCGCCAATGCACTTTTAGATTGCACCTCCGTTTAAAACCCTGACAGCACTCGGGTTCCACAATATTCCTCATTTGTTCGAGATCTCCTTGGGCGGGTTAGGAAGCTCTGTTAAGTGCGCTTTTCCCCGCTCTCCCGTGCACTGCGGAGCAGTGCAAGGGAGCGCATGGAAGCTTGGAGTCATCGCGTTCTTAAAACATCCCCGTCAATATTGACAACCTGACATTACTCTTATTTCGGTTGATGAAACGAGAAGCAATCCTAGTCTAACTAATCTTGGAAAGCCGACCACACCGACGCTTTTGCTAGCCTACGTGGCCAATAGTCATTAATTAGAAAAGCAGTGAAATAATTTCATCTCTTCGATGGGGGAACAACTGCCCGGAGGCGAAATTTGCCCGAAAGCGGACAACGCTACTCGGCTGGTTCTGACCTAGCCACGTCAGGCTACACATTGATTATATTCAAAAGGCCGGGAGAAATGAAAAGGACAGCAGGGACTTTTTGCAGAAAATTCTGTTTTATCGGCGGAGATGAGAACGATATCAGACTGTCAACTTCGACGGTGTTGATTTTAAAATGCCATTATCCCAACCCTAGCTCCGCCGTGCTTTTTAGAGACTATCAGACCTGTTGGTATCAGCTGATAATCATTCTCGTGATGTCACACTTATGAACCTCGGTTGTCTTTGCGCGCTCTCTCGTGCTGTACTTGTTCCGTGCCTAGAGAGTGATAGGGATTTTTTGCCCCTTTAATGTAAAATATCACGACGATAAAGAGATCTGCAGGTTGGTGAGAAAAGAAAACTTCGCGGAAATCTTTCGGCTCCTCCCCCCACTATGTCATAAGAATCTTTGTGTTTGACGAGTTTAGCGGCCCAAGAACGACAGGTTGGAATGCGCCTGCGCACGCTTATGTGCGCACACCTAACATGCAGTGATGGCGGCCAAAATAGGACAGCACTGAATCACGACGTCATGTAAACAGGGTCGTGATTCCGGTTTCGTGCGTCTGTCGCTGCATCTTTGTGTTGTCCTCTTGCATGTGACAACTGTGCGTGTTGCTTGTAAACTTGTTGCTCGTAGAAATATATCTAGTATGCTGAGAGGATCGCTAGCACTCCGGTTTAAGGATGTTCACCAAGCCCCAATGGCATGGCTGTGTAAACCTTCAGGGCACTGTAGCAACACTAAGGGTCAAATTAATTCACACCTGTAAACGCCTTTTAGCCTGGGATCAACATGCTTCACAGATCCTAAATGCACCAGGTATCCGCACGCGCACATCGCTTTTATATGGAAAGCGCAATAATGATTCCCTTCATCAAGTTCTCCCAGACCCCAAGTAAAAAACAACTCTGTGTACCTTCAAGACTGTTTGGTGTTGGTCTGCAAGTAATCCATTCCCCGACTGATCTCAAGGGATGCAGAGAAGCAGAAGTGGGCGCATCTCGAGCGCTGACCTCGTTTTATTGGTCGCATTCTCGGTACATCAACAAAACCGTTCCTCGGGACCGCTGCCCGTCCCGCGAACGGGACCATACAGGGGGCTCTGGCAGCCGCTAGTCGATTGAACGACCAGGCAACAGTAACAGCGTCAATGAGAGCATGAAATGGATGGACTTGAAGGCCAGTGGGCCTTGGTGGCTTTAACAAGGAACAGAAGCAGCAGAGCTACACTCAGGACGGAACCACTCGCAGATGCAGACCAACTTCAGAGTTACAAACGACCATCAGCTTGACTCAATGAAAGACCTTCGCACACACTGGTGTACCGCGCGTGCTGGGGTCCCTGGCAAACGTGCGACTTGCCGGCCGTTCCCGCGTCATGAACGCTAAGCTTACTTCGCTTTACACTCATTTTGTGAGCCGTCGTTGATGTATTTGAGCTCGCCAAGTTACCATCTAAAGATATGTGTGTGAGAAACTGCGCGTCGGTCCATTCATCCAATGGCAGTTCCCTGTCCGGGTTGCAGAGACCAGTGGCGTAGCCAGGGGGAAGGCTTATGGGGCTTCAGCCCGCACCCCCCCTCCCCCCCGCCCAAACATCCAGCCAACCCTATATTAATTATACACGTGCATTTTTAACCCCCTCCCCACTCCAAGTCATGAACATATCCCAGTCCCTTTAACCCTTCCCCCCCCCCCCTCCCCTTCCCCCACCCCCCAAAAAATGGCTACGCTATTGGCAGAGACTGCAGATGGAGGCACAAGTCCCGAACAGCTACTACTATTACTTCGTTCATCCAGTTATCGAAGTTGAGAAGCAGGACGATTTCTTACCGATTGGAACAATGAAGTTGGTCTACAGACACAGTAAACGTGCCATCAGCCACTGCATATCCATAATCTTGGGAAAGATGCCTCGAGCTGGTAAGTTTGGGTAAGCGCGGAAAATTAAAAAGAAAGGAAGCTAGTCCTAATGAAAATTGTACTAATCAGAATTTAAAAACAGATTGACGACTGATTTCTAAACACGTGACATAATCACATTTTTAACGCACCAACCTATTTGGTTCATATACACTATTCAATAGGATTACAGGCTCGGGGCTGTTTTTCCCTAAAAACTTTGGTGCAGGGCTATGTGTTGACAAAAGACGCACACTGTGTCGAGTGAACAGAAAGCTCACACAACAAAGAATCAAAAGTGGAGAAAGATGTGCTTACTTTGTGCTAGCCCCTCACTCCTCCACTCGCAGAAATCAACAAAGGTTCTTTCACTCAAAGAAATGAGCAGTACAAGACTTTTTTTTTTTTTTTCATGAGCTCCTAGTCAAGTGGGCGGCTTCTTTGCTTTGGAGATCGACACTACAGAGCAAATATGCGGTGAACAATAAACAAACTTCATCGCAGAACGAAAGCGGCCGGGTGAAATTCGTCACTCGTTCACAGCATACTTGCCCCACAGAATCCAGTGGCTTGCGACGACTGTAGTCAAACCAAGTTCTCGATGGCTATCAATCACCGTATTAACGCGTTGTCGGACCCAACGGCCTCGTTTGGGGGACATATTTGTATACTTTGATTCACCAGGCAATGCCAGCCTCCAGAAATGCTAGTAAGCACAGGCGCTCTTTGTGTGGCACGCTGTCGCAAGCAGGTACGCAGCGTCCTAAATAAAGGTTTATATGTTGGCCCAGACTTTCTGTGCCATCTCAGAAACATTCTACCAGTTTCAAACCTAGCCATCAAACTTGCACATACAATTGTGCCTCTGTGATGCAATATCAGCCAATGGCAATGGGGTTGTTTTGTTCATGGCATCAGAGCACTCAATATATTTAGTGACAAATAAATGGAGGGGGGGCTTGCGATGGCTGTGTGCCAAAAGGTTCTAGCAGCTCTCTGTACCAAAGTACCTGGTGACAATCCTAGTACAAGTATTTGACTAACTAGGAGTACTATAAAAAAAAACGTCGAGTACTCAAAATTTTTGCTTTTAATATTATCATACTGTTATCTTGCTGTCAATGAGGAAGCAATTAAAATCAGAGTGAAAGTAGCATGGAATGACATTTGTGATTAAAATTCTGGAACAAAAAGCTGTTATATCTACTTACTATGCAGCTTTACCAAAAGTCACGGAGTACTGCCCACTTTGTTCATTTAACTGCGTAGGGGTGCATATATGAAGTAGTTAAAGACTGCTGTGCTATGCAGCATGACAAAAGGTCACATATGTATCAGCATTCCCCAGGGACACAGGATAGCATCAAGTCGTCTCATGCACTAAATGACACTTGACAATAACAGCCTTATGCAATACATCAACTTATAGACCAGTAACAGTGCTATCATTCTGCCATTTCTTCCAGGAGTTTCAGAATTTAAAAGGAGCTATTAAAAATTTTCCAGACAAAAAGCTAATCTGGCAGCAGCGGGTATGCCACTAGAAAATAATAGAGGTTGCATGTGAAAACGAGGCAATGACATGAGCATCCCGATGTTGCAATGCAGAACAGTTTAACTGAAGCAACCTGCAATACTGACATTTCTAAAGTGCACAGATTGAAGAAACAAATAATTTTGGGTAGATGCAAATCTAGATCTCTCACACAAACCGCCTGAGCCTTTTGAGGCAATTTGAGGCGGCATTCAAGCTGTCCTTGTTGCTCATGCTTTCAGAAATTGAAAACATTAGCTGCGGTATGAAAAAAGGTCTCGGTTCGTGGCGTTTAAATGCTCTTCTATGCCCTTATCTTTGATTAAAATAGATACAACAGTTGTGACTGTTACTTAAACCAGAATTTTAAGTTCTGCAAAAGTCAATTTAGGTGTTCAAGCACTGCAACCCATTTCAAGTGCCTGTTCAAACAAATCATTGAGCTAATCTTTTAAGCTCTAGTAGAACGAGAGCTTCATTTTAAGGTTGACCCTGCCGGTCATAAATTCATGTTGATTTTCCTTGGTAGCAAACGTCCCATTGCTTTTCCAATTGAAAAAAGAAAAGAAAAAAAAAAGAAGCTACCAGCAACAATGTCAATTAAAATGGTGCAAAGTAACAAGTGACAAACTTAACCAAACCGTCTGGCATCCAGTGCCAGTTAATGTAGCCTGGCTTTACACTTTCTACAAACACAAAAATGGTCACTGCTGGCAGAGTACAGAGAAGTTGTTAACAAGACTGTTGAGCTCCATAATTTAGTTTGACTAATCAAGGATTAGAAGTAACCAGAAATAGCACTGTTAAGGTTGATGATAGAAGCAATATATGTGGCACGGTCTGTAAAGTCAATCTGGCATTTACAAAAAAACACAGAAGCAGCATGCTTTCACTTCCAGTCGAAACCCTCTTAATTTTGTAATCTACCACGTTGAAGGTACCCCACACGAATGACCAATACTGTTACCCCGCGATGTCCACTGAGGAATGCTGTCAAACAAAACAAGCAACGTGATGCTGCATGCACTTTCGAAACAACCAGGTGGATAGCTAACAACGTTAACAGCAGAGTACTTCACTTGCACGCTTGACCCGTTATTGCAAACAACTTCCTAGCCAAGACCCTCACATTCGAAATGCTGCTACTTTGGCACTATGGGAGGGCCGAGCAATCCACAACTGCGCTCGGGTCGGCGAGCCTCCGTCCGAACCGGCAGGGGATAACGGGGCTAGCAAAAAATACATATTGGCAATGAGACGGTGCCTCTCGCGGGGTGCTTATAGAGTTGCATAATAGTGCCGACATGTTCCCGCTGTCCCGCACTTCTAGGCAACGACGAAACTTTTTCGTCGCATTGCTGCGCTCTTCTATAGTCACCGACGAATTTCGGATAGGAACGTCAATTGGCTGTCCCGCCCACCCTCAGTAATACTCCGACCTCGAGTGTGCTTCCTGCAAAAGCCTTGTCCACGAAGGCAAGACAATTAGAAAATGTCGCTCCGAACCTGTCGGCAACTCCTGCATTCAGCTATCGCAACAAACCTCGAAACGTTTGCACAGAAGTGCGGGACACCGCGAACAAGTCGGATGGCAGGAATTTACTCTGAGCTGTCGCCAGGGACGATGCGTCGAACCGGCGTTCCCTGATATGCAAAACCTTCAGACGGGGGAAAACACACTTGCACGGGAGGAGATATGTCAGAACACGAGGAGTGGCACGTGCACGTCGGACACTCCGTGGGGTTGTGGCGCACGACACGCCTCGGGGCAAAAACGCAAACATGGCCGTCGGTTCTGGTCCTGTCTTTCAGCGGCACAAAAATAGCCTTGTGACGACGCTCGAAGTGGTGCGACGATTTGCAACGGAGTTTCGCCTCGACTTTTACAACCTTTCTTTGTTCACTTTGAAAGTGCATTTTCAAGCACAACCGGAGCAGGTATTCTTGAGAGTGGCAGAGTGAAACGAGGTGAGAAAACATAGTTTTCGTACGTGCCGGCCTAGTGCCGACGTCGGGCCGGCCAAGTAGCGATACTGGAAAGTACTCGTAGGCGTACGGACGGGCTGAGCAGAAAATGGCGCTCGGCAGCGATTGGCACATAGGATTTAGGTTGGGGCTATTGTTTCTAAGGTAAGAACAATGCAGACATCTCTCCAAGAAGAGTATTGCTGCAGTAGATTTCTGTTTGGCAGCTGTCAGAAAGCGTGAGCAAATATGTCCAATAAATAACTGGCCGTCCTTTTTGCAACCTTCCTTTACTAACAACTACTGGTTCTGCAAGCTTTTCCCCTTAAAAACTTGTCACTGTTGGAACGAGAGAGGCCAACCTCGAAGCTGCAAGGACTGGAAGCGATGGAACCTTCACTCTAACAATAGAACAGATATTGCATCCACCGGACCAGCCTTGCAAAATAATGCCAAAACATTTTTTTTTTTTTCTGGAAATCTACACTGATATCCATCTCTAACACGTGAAAACTCAGCCCAAACACTTTTAGAAAGCAGAACTTACCCGGCCATGTAGTTACTGCCTTGTCAGGAAAGAAAAGGCAACATAAATGTTGCCCATCAGCATCCAGTAGAAAACGCAAGCAACTCTACTTGCTTAAAGAAGCCGCAGTGAAACAAGGCAAAACCAACAGGAATGCTGGTGTCGACGACAGCAAGTAGATCCTTTACATTCTAGATGCACGAAACCATTCAACGGTGAGCTAGCTGATATGTTCTGCCGACAAAGGCTCACTTTGATATGGACAAAAACAGGCGTCGTAGCAATGCAAACAACCAGCACCCCAACGATCAAAGAGCTACAATGGGCAAGGTTAGCTTCTTAAAGAGAAAAGTTGCTTAAAACTTGACTGCTTCGAATATGAGCTACTGCTTCACAGTATGAAATCAGTGCAAACAGGTGACAGGGTAAGACTGGAACAGGTGTTCTTTCTGTGCCAGAAAAAAAGTCAGAGACTTTGCCTCCATTTCTGCTAAGCTTGTGTATATGGAGGATACCTGCACTTCGAAGAAAGGATGCCAGTATGACAAGTCTGTATGGTCTGCTGCATTAGCAGTATAACAATTCCTAGCTGTTGGAAGCCCCCAGGTAACCACATTTCCATAAAACGGGCAATAACAAAGCCCAATTTGCAACACAATATACATAAAAAGGCTGTCAATCGTTTTCACTCGTCGACACGGCGCGATAAAATGATGCTGAGCGAGAACTAAAATTTGCTATCATACATAATATGGCAATGTAAGAAAATGATGATACATCAAATAAGAAAGTCCCATTGCTTACATTTCCTCGTAGGATCCTGAATTCAATCGGGAAGCAAACTGCGAGGAAGTTTTCTCGCCAATAATGAAATCTACGGAACAGACACCATAATGAAATCTATGGAACAGACACGGAAAAGCTAAAATGGTAAAGCAAACGTTCGATCGAACTAACGATACCAAGAAAACGGAACTGTATCGACGATCCGTCTGTCCGGTAATAGCCAAGCATCCCTGCAAGATCGCCCGAGGAATCACGGACTATTTCCACCTTCCTCCCCCTCGTAGCGTCTAGCGCCCACGAAACTCGCGGAAGAGGCGTGGCAGGTCATCTTCCTACACAACTACAATCGCCGACGAAATCCAGATTTCGGCCAGACGACACTTTGTCGTCCCAAAGAGCTTCGCATCCTTTCGCTCCGCAGCGTTGAACGAGAATGTGCGGCAGTGGCACGTAGATTCGTCTCGCTACGTCGACGCCCTCCGTGCTCCTTCGGCGGCCGGCGGCGGCGAACTCACTTCCGCGTAGGGCGGGAGCAAGCACTCCGCCTCGTCGTCCTCTCGCCGGGTCGACACGGGTGAAGCCTCCCCAAACGACGGCGGTTCCTCGACCGGCCGGCGTCGGCCCGGCTTGGCCGAGAGGTCGTCGGTGCTGCGGTAGGGGGGCGGCGGGCCCTCGGCCAGGGGCGAGTACTTGGGCGGCCGGGGCGGCAGGTGCGGGAAGAAGTGCACCTTGGCCTCTCCCGGGGCCCCCGTGCTGTACGAGGCCACCACGTAGCTGCCGTGGGCGCACGTCACCGTTCGCAGGTCGGGGCCGCTCCCGGACAGGTGCGGGCAGGGCAGCTGCGGGAGGGGGGGTTGGCCGCCTGGGAAGCCCACCTGCGCGGAAAAGCCGGCGTGTTTACCGCATCTAAAAAAAAAAAAAGTGGTCCCTCGATTTCTGCTTTACGACCTCGTAAAAACGTCACGCTGTAGGTGATTGCAATCCTGGCAGTGTCGCAACAGCGTTTGTGGATGTGGTGGACGCCCGTTCTGCTGTAGGTCGCCGTCCAGCTCGACAGTCTACGGAAGCTTCGGCACCGTGACGACGGCGACGCTTGCTCGTGCTTTTTGGTGGAACTTCTATGACCAACCGCCAGGATCGCGACATCCGGCAGCGTGACACTCCGGTTTTTGTGACGTCATTTGTAGCCACTTTGGGACCACTTCCGAGGGATGGGCAGAATAGGACGTGAAACACGCCAGTCAGAGTCGTGTTCCAGGCACATCGCTACGACTGCAGCAATAGAGCAACCATCGGAAAAAGGCAATTTCCAATATTGTTTTTCCCTTTCAGTCAGGAGCACTGACAAGTGGCTAATGGGGGTTTCGGAACGACATATCCAAGTTAGGGGCACGTTGGTGCTAAACTTAGCGTGTACGTTTGCGGATGTTACCGGAGAGTTTCGGAACAGCATTCCTCCGCAGCAACTTTGAACACAAATTTTTTTTTTTAATTACTTCACATTTTCATTCATAAGCATGCACGTATGATTGTTGAAACCACACACCTGTTTTGAGCTAACCAAAAATTACAATAGCGAAGAAACTTTATTTTCTGAGGTTCGACTGTATCTCAATAGTTAGGTTTGACCTTTTGTACCAGGTCCTGTAGCAGACAAAATATTGGTTTGGAGCAGCCACTGACGCTTTTGAAGCAGATGCCAACATCTGTTAGCACATCACTTGAAAGTGAAAAAGTGACTGCGCCTCTAAATGAGTTCATTTAGGATAGTGATCGAGGGTTCCTCTTCGATACTTGAGCATACTTATTACCGTTTGTGATAAGAATAAATAGGGCATGAAGGAAACACAGTCGTCCTAAATAAGGTTGTAGTCTGAGTAAGTTTCTTTTACAATGGGTATAAAAAAAATGGTTGAAAAGCGAATCATAGTGCAACACTTTCTTAACATAAATCCCCATTTTACACTCGGCAGTTTGCTTACCCCGTAAATATAATTTCTGTAAAATGCCAGCAAGAACCAGCACGTCCACTAGCACATCTACCAATAAAAACGTGTCCCGTAAGTTTAATGAACCTGCCAAGCTCGAGACTCTAATATGATAGACTGCAAAAACCACCACCCAAAAATATTATGAAAGCCTACACTTGTGTTTTAAAGGTGACACTGCACTTTAACGGCGTGGAAACTAGAGTTACGTCTATGTTTGCTGCTCTTTCGATAGGAGCACGAGCAATGTCACAAAGAGACAATGGTGTAGCGTTATCTGTTTCCATACAAAACCCAGCCCTAGGCACCGCCCGGACAAAGGGCACCACCCACTCTATAAAGCTACCAAATTTAAAAGCATTTGGCAGAATGACCAAACAAGCAGCCAATTCATTACTTCGCATTTAGAGCGCCTTTCGGATGACGTCACAGTTTCACGTGACACTGATATCATCGAAGCTACATGCTACGAACACAAAATCCCCAAGGCTGACCCCAGAAATGTTACGCATTTAAAAAGCGGCAAAATCGTGCCGAGGCGAAGCCACTCACAGTGGTGGCGGGCGGGTGCAGCTGCCGGCACCAGGGCAGGCAGCGGGGAGGGCGGAAGGCAGTGGCCATGACGGAGCGGCGCATGTGGATGCGGCAGATGGCAGCCACCATGACAGTGGCCACCAGGATGAAGACCACGGCGCAGCTCACCACCGTGTACACCGAAGACTGCAGGTACTCCACGCCCGGTCCGAAGTGCTGATGTGGGACCAGCACGATCCCCACCGACGCGTTAGCTGCACGGAGGGGTCCAGGGGTGTGAGTCGTCCGCCCCGGTGACCGCTGGCGAAAGCGTCGGCGCTTCACTCGCGCCTCGACGAAATTTAGGAATTAAGGGGCCTCCGACGAGGCAGCTACGCAAGCCTGAGCTCGACGAACGAGAAAAAAATATTTACGACCCAACCTTGTTTTATACAATATGTGGATTTGGCACTTCTCACGGTTTCTCTTCCTCGGTCACACGCTACGATGGTGACATAGAGCTCGGTCTGTTGCAAAGTAACGAGCCAACTCAGGTGCATGTTTGCCAATCAAATTGATCGAACCTAACAAACATTATTTTGGCGACTGCAGCAAATGTCTCGCTTGAGAGAGACACAACCCGAGCGACGTCCAGAGTCTCGCAAGTCGGGTCCCTCTGTGCCGATCCTTTGAGTTCGGTCCCACTTTGTCCATCCTCCCCGGGAAATACGAGACTGCACTGAATGGCTAACTATGTGGTATTTTCATAACCCTCCACAGTTTTGTAAAAAAAATATTAATTTCTCGCTGGCCCTCAACGACTTTTCTGCCATTGCCATAAGAGGGGCGGAGGCCAGGCGTACTGCACCATGACGAGTGGCGACGACAACGGGTGCCCGCAGTCCGCATCTTTCGTGGCCCGAGCCGCACTCACCCACACTGGCCAGGTACTTCCTGCAACAGGGCAGCATGTAGGTGAGCCTGCAGCCCAGCTGGGTGGCCGGGTCGCAGCACGTCGCCCGGGGAAGGCAGCGGCCGTCTTCACACAGCACCTTGTCCTCGCACGGGTCCGTCCCTGGGCAGACAAGGGCTCCGCTTGGTGGCTCACCCTTACGCCATCCGGGGACGTTCCGCCACGCTCGACGATGGAGACCGATTCGCGTGACGGACGCTCTGTCTCGTGGTTAATGTGTCGCGAGCTCCATGGTATTGCTAACGTTGAGGATTCGTGGGGTGAGGAATTGCCCATCCAGACCCAAAGTAAAGCGACGAAGAAGGAATTAGCATATGGGACAAACGGTACAACTCTTGCGGCAGTGTACCGTTGCACCACTGCATGAGCGTGTGGCTTCGCCTTGCACTTCTTTTGCGCTCACTCTGGTGCGAAGACGACGCGTCGCGGCGATAGGAAAACTACGGTAGCCTCGACGATATAGCGCAAAATGGCTGACGCCAAGTATAGCGAAGTCGCAAAAACAGCATCCATTGTTCCCGTCCAAACGAATGATTCAAGAAAGTTTTTGCCCGTACCTAGAACTGTTCCTTACGAGGATTCTAGTCCCATGAAATCGTGTATTCCATGGACTTCCCTTAAAATTAAACCTTGCTGCTGGTTGCCGTTCTATCTGTCCCCTACTCTTTTTTCGTAACTTACCATTAGCAACAGGCTCTTTAGTTCATTTGATCGCAACTTGGCTTAGAATTGCCTGGCATACTTCTGCAAAACATCTTAATTACAAAATGAAACCTCAAGATTAACTCCAGTATTCTCATAATGAAGCACTGCACTCTCAGAAAACATTTTTTCAACTGCCCAGATAGGATATGCACATCCCAAATTGCACTTTCCTCGAAAAAAAAAAAGGAGCTCATTAATACATTTAAGCGGCAAAATGCATTTTACGTTCACCGCGATTTCATTTACTCATGTGTGTTTATTCGAAAATGCCTTCCATTTCAAGGCCAATGCTACGGTGACTTCAAAATGCAAGTCATTTTGTGAGCCTCCCATCGGCTAAAAGGAGCACAGAGGAAAGCTGGCCGAATTGCTTCATCTTGAATTAAATTACATTACTAATTACTTTGATAAACACTATTTACATGAAATTAAATTACATTACAAATTATCAAAACCATAAAAATAATTAATTACAGCTACAAATTACCTCAAAAAAGTAGTGACATTGCTTTCAGATTACTTTTTTCATAGTCGAAACATTTGTGAACTCTCATCCTGCACTTACCTAATCATCTCTTGACAAGTGAAGAGAGTGCGGAGTTTGCTTGTAGTACTTAGGAGTACGACCCGCTCCTGCCCTATTGTCTAGCTCTACTAAAGCCTCTTCCGATTCTATGGCTCCTTTAAATAGCCGACAACATCCTCTTCCTATATTGTACCAATATCTGCATCCTGATTTCTTGGACAGTTCCTAACTTGTGCTCTAGGAGCAATGACAAAACTCATGGCAGGAGCCCCCCCATAAAATAACTTCATAATGGTTTCGGGAGCAAAGATTCGGTCTCTGCACCCTTTCCTGCGTATTAATTTCTAATTTGTAATTAAATTGGATTGTAATTAAAATTACTGCCCAGAGTAATTCATTGAATGACTAAATTACCTACAGAAAAATATAATTAACTACATTACTCATTACTGCCAAATGTAATTAGATCACTGTAATTATATTACACTATTTTCATTACTGCTACCTTTTGGTATGTACACCCCATGCCTCCTCCTTTGCGCCTTTGGACTCTGCAAGCTGGGAGAAGGAAAGTGGAGGTAGGATGGTTCGTATGTCGAATCCGCAGTCCCCTCTAAATCACGTCTCGTGGCGAAAATCATGCTGGTAAATATTTTCTTTTTTTTTTTTGCCAGGGAAGAATGAAAGCCGTTTACAACTCCCTGCAACGCCGAATTGGAGCGCAGCTCTTGAGGAGGAGGAGGGAAGGGTACTGAGGGGAGGGTACTGAGGGGAACGGTACTGAGGGGTCACGTGACCTTAGGGTTACGCCGACGGCGCCGCCGTTCAAGCCGGAAAAAGGCGCCTAAGAGCAGCGCTCTAAAAGCACATTTTGTGATTTGCATTATAACTGGCCAGTTCAAAAGAAACCTGTTTTGGGAGTCTTTGGACATCCACAAAGAGAGTGTGGCCAAGGTGTGCTGATGGCCACACTGGCAGAGGGTGCTCACCACAGGTGCCCGGCGCCTCATCGGTCCCGTCGGGGCAGTCCATGCGGCCATCACACGTGTACCGCCGAGGGATGCACAGGCCATTGCCGCACACAAACGAGTGCTCGAAGCAGGGCAGCTTCCGACCAGGGGACACCGCTGACGGAGAAAGGGTTGGCAAGGTGAGCCCATTGCTTGATTATGCACATGCACAAGCTGCGTTCATGTCACATTTATCCTAACATTTCTGCATCCAGCCCAGACTGTTTACACGCCAAAATAATCTGGTAAACGAGTCAAGTACGAAAAACTGTCCTTTTGTAACTGTTCAATTATTGTAGAATAACCGGGACTTTTCTACTATATCTTTTTGCAAGTCTTTTCCGCTTTTTATTTCGTCGTTGTAACCTCAAAATATTGTTTTTCTTCTTTTTCTTTTTTTAATAAATCACTTTTTTTTATCAAAGCAAGCGTCTACCAGAGGGAAAACTGGTGACAAATATGTGTGACGACCCCCATGTTTGTGGAGAGACATAAAAGTAGAGATTGCTTCGTTCAGCTTATCTCACGTTAATGCTAGCCGTATAAAGCAGTGCACTTCCCGATCTTGGCCAATCAATTTCTAATAATCTGACTACACCGCAGTGTCGTTCTTAACCCATACTGTACCGTTCTTGAACAGGAGCGAATGCAGGTGTTTCAAGGGTGAAGGGGGGAGGGGGGGTTAGGACATTTGGACCCCCTTCTAAATCAGCCACTGCTCTTGGACCTGTGAAACTGCAACTGGAGAACTCGAAGGGGGTAGGAAAATGGTGTGAACACTCACGCTGCACTGACACGGAGACAAAGACCCTCTTTTTGAAGACAGTGTCGCGGTGTTGGGCGACGCACGTGTACACCCCAGTGTCGGCCTCTTCCAGGTGGTAGATGGTGACTGACTGCTCGTTGGGGCGGTCCTCCTTCTTGATGCGGTGCACCTGCAGCTCCGGGTCTTGGGGCATCATCCACATCATCGAGAACCTGATCGGGGAGACCAGTAAATTCGCTGCAAGGGCATTTTCGAAGTTTTGGGTGCTTTCTTAACAATGATGTAGTAGACAGCAAATTTAACCACCAAAGTATTATAATGTTTTTGTGTCTCCTCTCCAGCCGACGAAAAAGACCGACTGGGAGTGACTAATAAAAAGAACTTGCGTTTTGTCGGATGCAATCTTGCACGTCAGGTTCAAATCCTCGCCAACTCGGCGGGTCACCCTGCCGGACGGGACGGTTATGACTTGCTGATTCCCTGAAATTCAACGACGATAGAACCGTTATCAGTGCACTGACGAAGTAATGCGTTCAAAGCGCCCCTAGTTTGTTTCGCTTTCCGTGCGAGCAAAGTCGAAGCTACAAGCACGAGCATGTTGCTTGCACTGTAGGAGGGACGCTGAAACTCCTAAGCGTGCTCTTATAGCTCCTGCTACGCTCGCACTCGAAGTGAAATGGAGCACAGTCGTTCGTTTTGATCGGCAACCTTTCCTAATGTTCCGCCGAGAGTGCAGAGTTGCGACTTACCTTCGGACTCGGCGGACTCTCGGAGAACACCCAAAAAGACAAAAAGCGCGAGAAACTCGCGGAAACTAGAGAAAACATCCATTTGTGCAAACGCATTAAGGCAACGCTCGAAGGAACGGCAGGATCCGAGAGAATTATCAACTTAGGCTTCTTGCGAGCCAGCGATTCGGTCGGCGGCGCCCGTCGTCCAACATGGAGGCAGGTCACTGTGCGCGAGTAAAGCGCAATCACCGAACGCCGCGCTCACTGTTTACAAGGCGGATGATCGTAGGAAACATGGTTTGTTTCGAATCCTTCCTTCTTTTTTTAAAGGCATCTACCACAACAACGAGCTAATAAAAACACGTAACTGGCCGGAACGTAAACATTTCTTTGGCGCGAAAGTTGCCAGCATGCAGATCTGAAATGCAACCTAGGAAAAGCAGGAAAAGCGCGGCAAGCAGCAGAGCAAGTCAGTGAAATTATTAACTCTACTTGTAACGCTGGTTCTTTAAAAAAAACTATATATATAATAATAATTACAAGTTAGTATGGCTATTTTGTTATGCTTTGAAGTGTAGGCTTGAGGGACTCCCTAAAGCCTTGGAGCAAGGACTTGAAGTTGGAGGCTTGGATTGGAGTCAGATCAACTTTGTAAATTTACCATCTTATTCGTTTTTTATATGTTTACTTTATTCTTCCCCCCAGTCCAGTAAGTTTGGTGAACTGGTTCATTTGGTGCAGTCCAGTCGTCCAGTGGCTGCCAGTGAAGGCATCACCATCATCATCATTACCAACATGGCCGACGTGCGCGCGCGTACGTAAACCTCCTTGGCGTAAACAGCGTCAACAGAAGATTCGGTGAGGGGTGAAGCAAGGGCTAAAGCATAAACACTAGCCCACTAGCCTTAATAGCTTGTTTAACTTGAAGTTGGGAACCGATCTGGTACGAGCCCACGCCTTCGTCCACTGCAGAGTCCTGCCTGAACTGCACCTGAACAGAGACCGGCGGACCTCGCGCTCGGGCTGCCATGGACCCCCAGTGGGCACGCGACGACGAGGAGAACAGCGATGAGGAGGGGTCCACCGAGGTAAGAAAGGCTCACTCCCCGATGACATAACGCGCTGCATGAAACGTCGAGGCGGGATCATTAAAGGGAAGCTGAAGGGGTCCTTGAATTCGAAAGAAGGGAAAGTCTTAAAGGGCAACTCCGCTTCTTTTCCAGTAGTGCAAAACTATACAGTTCTCTTTGTTATCATCTACAAAACCCCCATGGCAAATATTACGACGGAATTCCGCCTAGAAGTTCATTAAAATCGCTGTCAAAATTTGACAAGCACGAATCCGCTGGTTTTGGATGAGACGTGCGGGCCAGACAACACTGCCCGGCTGCATTTCCGCTTCCTCCAAATTCCTTCTCCCGGTACATCCGTGACGTCATCAAGCATGTACAGCTTCTTTTTTTTTTTTTTTTTTTCCAATTTTGTTTTCTTTCCCGGGGAGAGCACGGGTGGCGCCAGCGCTGTGCTCTCCCCGAAGAGGGAAGCTGCTTTTGTAAGAATTTTGAGTGACAGGTTAATCCTTTATAATCTTCTGGGGGGAAAATAGCGACGCCTGTGCTAATCCAGGAGGCACAAAGGAGGATCCTGATAAGAGGGGAGCTCCTTCTTCCCCTTGTATATCACGTGGGTGTACATGCTTAGTGATACCGGTTTGTGATGTTTTCGGTTTGTGATCATGGCTAGAGTAAAATTACACGAAAAATATTTTATTTTTCGCGAAACAAAGGATTGGGAATTGTTTCTGGGTGCTTCAAAAAGCAAAATCGGCCACTATCTCAAAATTTTTGAAATTAAGCGGAGTTGCCCTTTAAGCACCTTAAGAACGGTATCTTAAGTTTTTTTTCCATGTCATTAGTAGGAGCGCCGTAATTGCCAATTAAAAATTCGACGTAGCTCCACCCGTTGCGGCGCGCCGAGTCAACCCCCCCCCCCCCCCCCGTCGTACGATGCGCCACTGTTTCAAGGATGGCAGGTTCATTTGTCTCGCATGTGTTTGCTTTTCTGTAGTTGAATGGTTTATCAATGCCGTCGTCAAATGGTACATCTTATTAGCTGTCCTGCTGTCAGATAGTTGTTTCATCAAATATATTGTGCTCACTTCGAGTTTTAATCTCGGTGTTCTGCTTCAACAGGACTACAAACAGGCAGTAGATGGCGTCATCTTCCTGATCGACGCCACCAAAAACATGTTTATTGCGACAGATGAAGAGGATGCATTTACCCAATGCCTGAAGGTGAGTCTTTGGCAGGTTGTGGAAAATGAACCTCGCCTGTCTAGAGACACCCCAGCAGTTACGAACTCCCGTTTTATCTCGCCTGATCCCACAATGAACTAAAGCCAGGGCAACTGGCTTCAAGGTCCTATCATGAGCCAGTTAAAAACCATGCGGCATGTTGCTGTGATGTGCGTACTACTCCATTGTGTCCATCTGGTTTGTGGTTGAACCCAAGAACTGATTAGCTTTGACTGTAGACCAGCATAGAGTGAGACGAAGTACAGTATGCTTGCCATGATTCAAACTGATATTTCATACTTCTGGTTTATTCAAACAAATTTCAAATTTTTTATTGTCCCACTATGTTTTCATCAATGTATTTATATGCTGCTTATTTCAAACGGCGTTTTCGTGCAATTCCTACTTTTTGTTCTCACGGCCCTGCTGAGCGCACCTCTTACCGAGCACCGGTGCACCACAGGGAAGCATCATTCGCAGAGCTCGTTTTCGTGGCTGTGGCTTCTCCACAGTGCACAGGTGCTCGCTAAGAAACATGCTCAGCGGGGCTGATAGTCTGCAGTAGACAACTTTTTTTGCTTAAAGGGGCCCTGCAAGGACTTTTTAACTGGTATTTAATTTGCAGCGAACCTGAGCGCACTGAAGTAGTAACTTGATTAAACTTTTCTTTTTTCGAATATCGCTTTATTTTAAAAGTTATAGGCAAATTAAAATTACAAGAACAAGCAAAAAATAACCTCCTTCATGACGTCCTTGGTTGCTTGAGTGGCCGTGAACTAGAGGACGGGTAGTGAGCTCAGCGAGTGCTCACGGCTGCCGCACTCCGTGTCGACAGCTCGAGAGGGCGCCACTAGAGCATGTTCTGGATAGGCTGTAGGAAGTGAACAGCCAGGGCAGCTCGCATTGCATTTGCTGCACAATTAAACACTAATTCGGCATGATACTTCATTGGCGACGTACGACAGCATACACGGGGTAAAGATCAGTTCAAAACGGGAGCCACTTCGCACTGCCATACCACCAAACCGCAAGCCAAACCTTCGTGCCGAAGGCCTCCGGAACGCTCGGATCCTCGAGCCCATACGACCGCAGCACTGCCGCGTACATCCGGGACCTTTCTACGCTCGCTGCTCGTCGGTGCCTGATCCCACCACTCCTTTCTAGTATGCGCCGCCTTTTACACCGCTTGGTGGTGGGTATGTCGATGGGTCATTTCTCGTTTCCGTACTTTATAAACTGCATTTGTTTCTTTTCTGATCTATAATTCTGAACAAAAACTATTTTTATACATAATTGAAATGGTTCGCGCCACTTATATCTTGTATTTAGACTAAAAAGAAGCTTTTAGTGGCTCTGACCAGTAGTAAGTCCAGGACCAAAGGTTTCACATTTCGCACGCTTTCAGCTCCGCGGGTTGCTCCTGTAGGTGGAGGAGGTTTCCGCATCCTTTGTTATAAATATGACGCACTGATAGTTGTTTATGCTTTTAATGCCCGCTGGCTTGCCCGAACCCCAAGAGACGTGGAAACCGCAAAAAGGGTAGATGCTTAAATATGATTGCAGGGCCCCTTTAATGAACACTTCGTTTTGTTTTGAGGTGTCATGTGCTGTCTAAACAGTCCACGATAGACAACATTTTTGGAGGGATGAACGAACTTATCTCGTACATTTTACCAGTGTTTCATGTGTGGCACACCTGCTTATGATTAGTAGGCCAGTAATGTTTCACCCTCGGGTTTCGGTTGTTCATCCTCGGTTTGTGGACGCCTCCCTAGGAGTCTCGATCAGGACCAGTCGATCCTGTTAACTGCGCCAGTAATGTGTCCCCCTCGGGTTTCGGTTGCTCATTCCCGGTCCGTGGAGTCTCGATCAGGACTAGTCGATTGTGAGTTGAGATGGGTTTGCGGATTGCTACATTTGTCTCCCGCAGTCCGAGGGCCACATACATTTGTCGTGCGCGACGGAGGAGTTTGCCCACACCGTGCGCAGTCGGGGACTTGGCACCAAGGCGCATCAACATTGACCTAGGCTATCGTGAGCGACAGTATGCAGCAGCCAGAGCGACCCTCCAGCCATTACAGCACCCCACAATCGACCGGTCCTGGTTGAGAATGCAAGGGAAGCGTCCACAAAGCAAGAATAAACAACCGAAACATGAGGGGAAAACATTACTAGGCTCATATGCTAGAGTAAATCATCAAATATCTGCTTTGTAGCCATCTATATAACAGGGTATAATTTTATCTTGCATCATAGTATTTAGGTGAATTCCTAGTAATTCAAACAAAATTTGTGGTTTTACGGAGTTTGAATTAGTAAGAGTATAATGCCCACTTCAGCATCTTTGGATGATGGGACATGTGTGACCTATTTGTCTTAATCAAACTGGATACGGTAATAATGTTGTCAAAATAAAGAGTGAGCTGGATGGTGGCAAGACTATCTTTTAGGTAATCTTTGTAGTTACTGGAGTTGTCAAATAGATATCTGCTAAGGCTGCACCTCACTCCAGTGTATAGTGATAGCTTCACCTGCTTTTGGTGAACAGTTTATGCTGTGCTTTTACCTCAGGCTGCCAAGAGTACCATGTTGAACAAGATCACCAGCAGCCCCAAGGATAAAGTGGGGGTAGTACTCTTCGGAACGGTAAGAAAGGCTCGTCTTTGTGACTGTAAGCACAATTTTAATGCCTTCCTGTTGATATGAGCCACTGGTTTTTCCGACAAGAAAGACTCGGCATTTATTTCACTTGCATAAAATTGCCGCTAATCAGTATTTGCTATATGTACATGGCTCAAGCAAGTAAATTCTGTGAAAACTCGACAGAAGGAAGCAAACGATAGTGGACTTATTAAGCAAAATGCAACAACTTGAATATAAGATACGCAAATTTGATTATGATTGAGCCTTTTTGATCACATACCTTAGGTAGTTTTAACTTGCAAGATATCAGAAATAATGTAAAAGCTGGATTTTTTTAATCTGTGTCTTTTGGTGATTACTGGAAACTCTGTATGTAATGCTTGAGGTAGAAAATTGAGGTTGTACAAAAAAAAAACACTTTTAAGTCACATCAACATTTGGTGATAAATGTCGAATTTTATGCCGAATATTAACAGTTACACATTACATGCACACGAGTTGCACATTGAACAGCATGACTTTCCTACAATGCAGTTGAGTAGTGCCGATCATGCCACAACCGACTGGTAGTTCATTGCCCAGAACTGTGGCAGTGTTCCGAATGTGGAGACCTCTCTGGGCAGTGGACTGTACAGTCGGCACGGAATGAAACGCGAACATGGAGCACATGGTTTTCGACCCACGCTGAGTCACCTAGAGACGCAACACCGAAGGTTTGGATGCACTGAGCAAGAGTCTAACACATCGAAGGAGGAGCCATCTTCTTGCAGCTCCCATCTGGTTCAGGTGGTGCAGCATCTAGTGAAAACCATGCACCCACTGTTCGCGTTTCATTCCGTGCCGACTGTATACTCGCACACATGCCAGAGTTCCCGTTGGTGCCTGAACTTGCGAATGAACTAACTGCCAGGTCTGCCACTCCCAGGAGAAAGACAGCAACCCCAGTCGCTTCAAGAATGTGTACGTCATACAAGCCCTGGAGTGTCCGGGAGCCACAACGGTGCTCAATCTGGAGTCGCTCATCAAAGGTAATTCCACAACCTCCAGGCCGGCGAATCTGCAGCGACAAATGTGCTTTGCTACACAAAAATCTGGGCAGCTCTTTGAAAGTGTTTTGCGGAGCTTGTAGACTCCTTGGCATTGTAGAGGTGTCGACTCAAGCGATTTTGCGTGTGCTCGTTCGAATGCCACCGAACTCGCAGCAGTTCATGGCCTACGGGCTATTTAGGTTGCACTCATGCAGCCGAAGCATTGCCGACGCCCGCCAGTCGGCGCTGAACGTGGCATCCCTGGCAGCGAAACGTCCTTTATTTTCCAGCCTATCGTCGGTTGTGATAAATGTATGCTATTGTTGCATCGGCCATGTCCAAATTGAAGCAGGAATTGTTTGGGATGGCTGTTCTGCTTTCAGACAAGAAGTCTCGAGAGCAGTACGGGCACGGCAACGTTTGCCTCGCGGATGCCCTCTGGACTTGCGCCCTCATGTTCTCCCAGTGGTGAGTGCCGGTGGCGTGGTGATCCTGTCCCAGCGCCATTTAAGCTTTCCGGGGGCGACCACTGATGGAAAGTAATTCGTGCTACTGAAATTAGTCGGACACTTCTTACGTTACAATGAAACCTCGCTAACTGTAACTCCAACCTTGGGATCAACTTGTAATTTTGTTGAGTTACCTTTACTTGTCAAAATTATTCTGCCAAATGCAAAAACTGGCATGGAATTTGTCTGAACATCCATGCTGCTGCATGTTGTCACACCTGCAAACACTACAGCGAGCTGGGTGCCGAATTGACATCTTTTCTACATTGAAAAATAAACTCCTAGTGTGTACTTGCACCACGCCTCAGATATTTTCGATGTAAGTGAAGCCTAACTTAGTTACTTTTTCTTAACTTTCTAAATGCATGCAGAACATAACTATATATTTTTGACTTAATTACATATCCGTTCAGTGAACTGTAACTTAATTACTTTAAAGGGGCACTCCCTCAAAAAAAAAAAAAAAAAAGTCTTAAAAATTGCCTGGATGGGCCGCGTACGTCACACGGTGTTCTTTCCTCAAAAAAGCAATATCACCATCGCAATATTTCCCTCGTAAGACACATTCTTATTTCGGAGCGATTTCATTCGCCCGCGTGGGCAAAACAAACATGCCTAACCTTTCGTCTGCTTTCTTTCTATGCTTTTCTGTCGCTCTCTCTTCCTCATTCCTTTATTCTGGACCACCGATGCTAGCGCTCAGGATTCGCTGCATTCTGACCCGTCTTTACCCCGCTGATAATATAATAATAATAATATAATCGTCTATTTTCACTCTAAAGGAGTGTGGAGAGCAGGGAAAAAAGCTGCAGTTGCAGCTTGACAGGCCCCTGCCCCCCAGCACTTGACATAGAGTACACTATAAAATTCGAACTAAATAATTACTCGAAGCATAGCAGAACATTTAAAGTCTAACTGACGAAGAGGTGGAGTGACAATAATACAGACATAAACGCGCAAAAATATATATATCGGGTCAAGTAATAATCAAGTAATGATAACACAAATATTATAACTGGTGAATCAGCAGAAATAACACACTATACATGCAACACGCCATACATACACGCATACATACATCACATGCATGCCTATATACCTAGTCAAGTAAAACATAAGGTGATGAAATTGCAGACATCATGATGCACAAAAAAAAACATACGTACATACTATACAATAAGGTCACATAAGAAAAATACTACAGCGAGAAACCATATAAGCATAAAGGAAAATTCGAAAACGTCGCATCAGTAAAATATGAAATGGGACTTCAGCGACTGTTTCGTTGATGTTTCGGGTGTAATGTGTTTTGCAAGGTTGTTAAGAAGAACAGGCAAGGTATGTCCCTCTTGTTCCCCCTGTCCTGGGATTATTTTCGTCAGGTAAGGTATGAAGTATAGATTGATGTCCATATGAGGTTCTGACAGTTGGTATTTTCCATATTTCGGGCGATTAAATAATTGTAGCAGTGGTGCGTTGTTTATTGTTACTGCATTTTGGTAAAAGAAACTAGTCTGAAATCATACCTTTTTAACACATTTATAATATTTAATTCATTAAAATACTTACGAGTTGATGTAAACCATGGAACGTTTGTTAGAATACGTAGAGCCCTTTTTTGTGCGACGAGTAACTTCAGCATGTTCTGATTTGTAGTTGTTCCCCATATGACATGACAGTAAGTAAGAGTCTGCAGGAGCAAAGAATTATATAGAAGTTTTTTTGTGTTTTGTAGCAAAATATGTCTATGTTTATTCATCAAGCCATTAAGTTTGTTTAATTTCATGCCAACGTGGTTTATGTGTTGGTCCCACGTGAAATGTTCCGAGAAGAAAACACCCAGAGCTTTAATTTCCTGAACGAATTCTATATTATTTCCGCCGAAGTTAAGATTTGTAGACACACATGCTATTTTATTTCTGGGTCTAAACAATAAGGCCTTTGTTTTATTGGCGTTAATTTTTAAGCAGTTCAAGTCAGCCCATATTTTTAAGAAAGAGAGAAAATTGTTAGCAGAATCTATAAGTTTGTCGGGTTCCTTGCCAGTAAAAAGCAAGGTTATATCATCAGCATATGCTATTGACTGTACTTCGGTATTGATATTGAAAAGTCATTTATATAAATAATAAATAATAAAGGCCCCAAGATGCTGCCTTGTGGGACGCCTGATTAAATGTCCTCAGTAGATGATAGGAATGAATTATGAGATACGCACTGCTTACGGTTTAGGAGATACTATTTAATTAGTGATAACATTCTTCCACGAACACCATACATGTCAAGCTTAGCAATTAAGATGTTATGATTCAAGTGGTCAAACGCCTTAGAAATATCTATAAAAATGCCGAGTGAAACCAGTTTTTTTTCAAAAGCTTCAATAATGATCTCTTCCTGCTTTATGAGCGCAATCTCAGTCGACATATTTTTCCGGAAACCAAACTGAATTAGACAACAACGTATGCTTGTTAAAAAAGTTAGTTAAAGGGGGGGTGCAACAATTTTTGGACTTTGGTCAAAGATTTCTGGAAGTTGCCCCCTGACGCTTCTGGAGTAAAGAACAGAAAACCGATTTCGCCTGCGTGTCCTAGTTGTTGCGTAAAAAAAAGATAAATATTGGCATTTCGGGCACCCCTCAACTCACTCCCAGTCTTCAGGGTCACACCTGGTCACACTCCCAGTGACATCATTCGGAGTGCCGTGTAGCTTCCCGTGTGCTATCTCGGAGGATGCTTCCCCTCCCTCTCCCTGCGTACATTAGTGGGCACCATGCTGCAGCTTAGAGCCGAGCGAGGTCACATAATCTTTCCGCCGTAGTTCCTTCGGCTGCCACTTGCGGCTGCAGGTGGGGGAAAAAGCTCAAGTTTTGCTTTGCGATTATGCAGCGGAATTGCAACATTTTTAATGAAGGAAGTGTTTTCTCTATCCTCCGGGACACGATAAACAACGTAAAAATGACGAGATGCAAATTCTTTTAATCATAAAATCGTTGCACCGCCCCTTTAAGCATGAATGAATGATTTTCTCAAGTCCCTTGGAAAATACAGGAAGAATAGAAATAGGCCTATACAGTGTAGACCGCATATAACGTATGTCGCGGGAGTCGCGAAAATCCGCACTATAAGCGGTACTGCGTTATAACCAAAACATCAATTTTTCAGGCCAAAATACATGCCATCAGACAACTTACCTTTGTAAAAGAATTTATTTTATGTTAGATGAAAAATAAAGCTTAGTTTGAGGAAAGTCTTTATTTCACCAGACTAGTACACTTCTCTCTTAAGTGTGTCACACATTTTGAAAGAAATGAGCGACTTTTGCCTGGCGCAGCCTTTTAACGGCGTCGCGGGTTGCGGACGGACGTTGCGAGCGTTCAGGATTGCTAACCCTAATCACTTTTCTCCGGTGATGAAAACGCATGAAAATTTGCATCTTTTATACGTTACACGCCAGTAATACCTTCAACTTGAGCACAAATGCTCCAAATAAGAAATCCGGGTGATGTTCGAAAACACAAATGCTTAGAAAGCACCACTGTAGTCGAAGTAAATAAACACGACGATGCGGGCGTTTCTGCCGTCTTGAGAGTGCCGCCACGACATCGCCACACGAGTAGGTGGATCTTCTCTTCTAGTACGTGCTGGGTTATCATAGCGACACACAACAGAAATTCACAGTCAAGGATAGCACTTTTACGCGGAACGATGAGCTTCCACCACGCCGTCTACGTCGACGATCACAACCGACGCTATGTTTGCGGATAGAAAAAGCCGGTCCCCGACTGGCATGCAACGCGCGCGAACGGAGCGGAGGAACGCATGCACGTGAACGACACATGCATGCGTCTCTCTGTCGCTATGGCAACTGAAGCCTCTCTCTTTACTTCTCCCCGCTTCTCCGAGCAACCTCCTTGCCCCGCGAGTGCCGCTTGCGGCTAGCCAGGCTCAGCGCCGTTATCTACTGTCGCACAGGGAAGCGTGCTCGCTGCGCTGGTCGGTCGGCGTGCTGTTCCAGAAACCGCACTATAACCGGTATTTCCCTTCGCGCGCCTGCATTTTAGGCGGTATGTAATTACATGGAGTTCTATGGGAGGCGAACCGGTGGTTTAAAAAAGTCGCGTTATACCCGTTCCTGCACTATAAGCGGTTACGTTGTAAGTGGTCTATACTGTAGTTGGAGAGATTATTTATATCGCCTCCTTTATGAATCACGGTTACTTTAGTGGTTTACATTGGTAAAGGAAATGTACCTGTTTCTAACACTAGGTTAAATATGTGTGTGAGTATAGGGGCAAGTAAATCTAATACATATTTTATTGGCTTTATTTGTAAATCATCTATGTCACGAGATTTACTGTTTTTTAAGCTAAGAAAGGTATTGACAACCTCGTTTTCGCTTGTGGGAAAAGAGAATGAAGAGTCACTTACATGAGCATGAGTGGTTATGTAATTTCCTGTCAACACAGTATTGCTAGCGGGGACCAAATTCACAAAGTAGTTATTAAAATCACTGGCTAAACTCTCCCCATCGTAGTCTGTTCCATTCAGAATTATTTTTTCGATGGTTGACTCAGCAACTGGGTGCAAAACGTTTCTGAGTCGCTTCTACAAAATATCTCCCTGTATAGTTTCGTTAAACTGTTTATGATAGTAGTTCCTTTTTGCATGTTTTAACTGTGAATTTAATTTATTTCTGTAACGTTCATAATTTTCCAATGATTTTATGTCCTTTGTTCTAATAAAAGTGCTAAATATCTTGTTTCTGATATTTATTTTTTTGCAGTAATTCCGCGGTAATCCACGGCTTACGGGATTTTTTATTTTTTTACTTTTTTGTAAAGTTGTTTTAGTTTTTAGAGTAAAATCCGGAAAGTTGTTTTCAGTTCAGAAGTTTTCAGAAGTTCCATACCCGGCGACTTTCACAGCTCTTAGCCAGAGTAGAGCATCTTGCAGGACTCTAACATCTCGAGACGTCGCATTGTAGGGGAAAAAATATGGCAAATTGCTAAGCAATTGCTTTGCATAGATGAAACATTCTAGGCTCACAAATGTTTATATTATCATTTAGCAGCACGTCCACCCTATTCGGCCAGGCGCCTACGTTCACGGCACTCTTCATCACATAATTTAACACGTGGCACTTGCACACTTGAAATGATCAACCTGGTGATCTTCCAGAACTGTCTAACCCACCTCTCCTCACTCCACCCCTGGTCACATGACGAGGGGTGGAGTCAACCAATCAGCGTTGAGCACTTCGCACCTCCTCTCCCATCCATCAACCAATCAGTGTCGATCCTCGCGTCCACGCTTTTATCCAGGCTTCGCTTTTGAGCTTCACAAAATGCCGAACACCTTGCCATAGGTTGTTTAACATTGAAAGGAATGAAAGGCCGCTCGGTGTACGGAAACTAGGCAAGGGTTAATCGTCTTGTGGGGGGACAGCCCCGTGGGCCAGCGGCGGCTGCTGGTGCTGACCAACCAGGACGACCCGCACGCGGGTTCGGCCCAACTGGACCAGCGGGCACGCACCAAGGCCAAGGACCTGCACCAGTCCGGGGTAGAGGTGGACCTTGTCCACCTGCAGCCACCCGGGGGAGGGGCCTTCCGTCCAAAGCTGCTCTACCAGGTGAGCTGGGCAGGGGACCACTCCCACTTTCGTTGCCTGTCTCATTTTTTTTTGTGCACGCACCATCACGGAGGTGTCTTCGCGGTGGCACGTATATCCGGGGCGAGCTGCCTGGGCTCGGGCGCTGTTACTATGGTGCGCGTCTTCGATTTGTGCGTCTAGCGTGCACATTGAAAGTGGTCCCCCAAGCTTCGGAATTAAAAATAGCGCGGAAAGACGAGGACCAGACAAAGAAGTGACACAGACGTAGCGCTGTCTGGTCCTCGTCTTTCCGCGCTGTTTTTAATTCCGAAGTATGTACCAACTCGCCGAAGCCTCAACTTTAGCGTCCCCCAAGCACCAACAAATGGCGTCGCAGGAGGTATCGTGTCATGCTGCCGTATGTCGCAATCCTGGCAGTTGGGCGTGGATGTCTTGGCAAAAAGTAGGAGGAAATGTGAATGTCGCCGCGGCGTCCAAACCGGTGGCTGCCGAAGTTTCTGTAGACTGTCAAGATGGTAAGAGACCTGCGGCAGCGTCTATCAGATCCACCACCGCTGCTGCGACACCGCCAGGGTCGACTACGTGAGAGCTCTACATCATCGGGCGGAAATTGGGGACCACCTTTTTAGACACGGTTAACGCACCAGCCGGAGACATGTTCCAGGCACCGTACTGTAACCCTCAAGAGTGGGGACGGACAGAACGGACTCGAACACACTGGTCTGTGTCCACCCATCCAACCCCAGGCTCCAGAGTTTGAGTGCGTGATGTGAATGATACGAATTGAATAGCTCGACGTCGGAGGGCACTTTGGGAGCAATGTCTGAAAACGCTCTTTTTTTGAAGAAGTACTACGATTTAGTTTCATTAATACTCATTGTAGGCTCGAGAATCTCTCGGACGGGTTTATACTTAATTTTGTGTCATGGGCCATTATTTCTAGTGCAATCAACAGGTGCAGAAACTATCGGGTCGATGGAGAGTCTTGAGCTCTGCCCGACGTGCGCCGTTCTGTGTTGCGTCGGACTAAGCAGTTGGCCTGTTTTACCTCACGCGTTCCAGGATCTGGTGAGCAAGGACGAAGTCTATGGCGACGAATTCCCTGAGGCCTCGGACAAGCTGGAGGAATTGTTGCAGAGGTATGCTACGGTTCTTGGTCAGCTTGTGTGCGGTGACCATGTGCAGTGGAAGCTCGAAAGACTGCAACCCATGCTCGGAACAAGCCTCCTCATTTGTGTACCCTCGAGTATGAATGGGGTGTAAGCTACGAGAGCAACCGCCAAGCTTTGAGTATGGCGTACTGGACGTGTGTGCTTCTGCAGTGCAAACGCCGTTCGAGGCAACGGGCTTGCAAAATGGCTTCAGCTTGGCTCATACTTATGGTGGAACAAACTGTAGTTACTCCCCTGTTGTAGGTAATCACATTTTGTCCCGGAACGAGCACAACAACCATAATCGGATCTCACTACACGACATACTCTAACGTTTTTCAAAACGTCTCTGTTGTGTCGGTAATTTTCTAGTATAAGTGGGTTAGCACAACTGACCGGCCAATTGAAGCTTGAATGGTTTCTCCTGGTGTGTCCCCTATGTGTCCCCTACAGTAACTGGAGTTTGTTACAAGCTAGCATATTTGTCCCTGCAAAAATGTATTGTTACCCAGAAACGAAGAAAGGAGTTAGACAGGCAATCTCTATATAGTATTTGGTGAACCTTGGCAGAGACGCAATGTGACCAGCGCCGTGCGGTAGACAACTATCATGTCACTGCAAACCTTTATGGGATGCTGGTCAAAGGGGATGCATTGGTTTTAGTATCCTTACTCGCCGCACTGCACTTAGATCTGAGCGGAGCTACTCTTGCCGGTCCCTAGGGTGCGCCTGAAGGACCACAAGAAGCGGCGCCTGGCGTCGCTGCCCTTCTGCCTGGGCCCTGGACTGCAGCTGTCCCTGTCCCTGTACAACCTGGTGCGCCCCACGAGCAAACCCTTCCCTGTCCGCCTCGCCAAGGACACCAACGAGGAGCTGCTCAGCCGCAGGCTAACCTACGCCCAGGTGGGGTTGCGCCCTGTCTCGCTACGCTGCCTAGACCAACTGGCATCTTTAGTGTCTCATTCATCCAAAGTTGCCCCAAAGTGGCAGCAAATGACGTCGCAAAAGCCGTCGCAAAAGCCGTCGCGCTGTCGGATGTTGTCATCCTGGTGGTTGGTCGTACAAGTTCCGTCAAAAAGCATGAGCAAACACGAGCATCGCTGTTGTCGGGGTGTCCCGACTCCTGGCTGCCAAAGCTTTTGTGGGCTGCCAAGCTGGAGACTGACCCGCAGTGGAATGGGCGTCTGCAATATCTGCCATTGCTGCTGTGACACTGCCAGAATCGCGGCCAACGACAGCGCGAAACTTCTATGATGTTGTGAAACAGAAATTGAGGGGTTAGTTTTTTTGGACGCGGTAAACGCACTAGCCAGATGCGTTCTGCCGAGCGGCATTCGTTCGACGCTCGATTACTTTCTAGAGTTGTGGAAACAACACCTGTATAATGAACTTCCACTGGCGCTTGCATCAATAAATTGTGAGAGGGCCTCGCTTCGCTTGCCATTAATATGCTACTCGTCACGCCGACGCAGGTACAAAGATTTTGTTACTCTTGGCTTCCAGAGAGGCTTGGCTCCCGTTTTCATACAAACAATTACCTGTTGAAAATTATCTCTGGTCTCTGCCACCTACAGAATTGTCTTCTGCCAGGCAGAAATCCCTTTCCCAGCGTCCTCTCCATTGCCCTCGCACTCTTTTTTCCTCTCCCAAAACGAATGGACTTATGCAATGCCTTCTAGATAGCGAGGCCATATCGTGCTGAATTTTCTTTATTACCTACAAGAGGCGAGCACGGAGCACAGATTGGGCACGAGTACTCCGTCGGTGTTCGGCTGGGACTCGAGTTCCATCAACGAGAATGTAAATCCCTGCCAAATGTTGGCGTGGCGCTCATCTCTTGTAGGCGACGTAGAAAATTCAGTGCTACGGCAGTGGTGCCTGATTCCGAGTTGCTCCCTGCAGAAAAGAGGGCTTCCCTCTTTCTCAAATGGAAAGAAGAAATGAACCCCCTTTTCTGGCTGCTCTAGAAAGTAATACCATTCACGAGTCGCTTTGTTAAAAGTCTTCCGTGGCTGTGCCTAAAGCGCCTAAGCGGGACTTTCTTTGCCGTTGCACTTGAGGCGTCGTGCCAACTTTGGCATCCTTTGTGCAGGACAACGGGGAAGTTCTGATGCCCGGGGACATTGCCAAGTGCCAGGAATACGGGGGCAAGAAGGCCCTCTTTGACCTCTCCGAACTGAAGCAGATGAAGGCCATGGCACCCCCAGGTGAGGTCGGGCATGCTGTCCGAGCGCTCTATTCCTGGCCGTACATTCTCCTTTACATTTGTTCGACGCACCATTACATGCAACTGAACTAGTAACTCAAATATTATGTGAAGCTAACATTTTGTGCATACCGTAGAATATTGTGCGTCCGCTCGTTCCGCACCAAGCACCCACCCCCAAAATATGAAACATCTGAAAAAATATGCAGAGTAGATATATATATGTAAAATTGATGACCCCACATGCACCCATCCCCTATTTTTTCGTGATTAGTATCTTCAATCTTTGAGTGGACGCTTGCTCGGTGTTTTACGGTAGTTATTCAGTTTTAAATTTTGGTCCTCACAGTTTTTTTGTTTTTTCAGACGAAAACTCTCTTTTGGCGAAAGTGATGCTAGCAGCAGGCACGGTTCGCTGTTTGGGTGGTAGAACCCGTTTCCAAGTGATTACAAGACGTTTGATGGTGTAACACCACCATCAAACAATGATGGACGTTTGATGGTGATGGCTCACTTCAGCACTGGCTCGACAGCACTGAACAAAAATGAGCGAGATGCTCCATTTTCCGGATGCCCGCTCATGCCTGCCAGCAACGTCGCATCACTGGAAAGTCTGGGAAAATTTGAATGCTTGGTTTTTGGCATCACCTTCATCTGCCATTTTCTCGATAGCTAGTCCGAATTTGGAGATAGCACTAGTAGCGTGCCGAAAAGAGCAAAGGCACGGCTTTCGGAAAATGGAGCTTGTTTGCACAGTTCATACAACTGTGGAGTCTCTTTAATATAAAATGTGGGATGATGTGTGTCGAGCGGTGTTATAGGCGTTATCAAATAAAATTATTGAAATATGCTACTCATTTGTGCACATAAAAGAAACGCATTACTGACTTGGGTTACCTAAAAATAAAAGAAATATGCTACCGTTTTCGATAAAAAGTAACGCACGTGACATTTTCATTACTTTTTATGGACTAAAATATTTTACTGTTTCGACGTTCCAGGTATGTAGAAACCCCAAACCTTAAGAAGTCCATGCAGAAATTAACATAATTACCTTACCTTTTTTTTTGGTTCTGATTTTGAAGGAATGTAGGACGAGCTCAAGAATACATGACTTGGGGCCTAAAACACTAAAATTGAAGCTTAATTTTTTTAGCTCTTGGGAAGAAGATACGATGAGTAACTGCGTAAAATTCCGTAAGAACGCCCACCGAAAATGAAGAGATAAATAATGAAAAACATGGAATGGGCTATTTTTGGGATGGCGATAGCAAAACTTTATCAAAAATTAAATATAAACATTGGGGCATCCGCTACAAACCATATGATGCGGGAACTGATACCGCAGATTGCGGACGCGGCAAATTCGCGTTTCACGATGCGATAAACATGTGCGAATTCGCTACGAACTCCTGTATCCCAGGAAGGGGTAGCGCAGGTTGTGGACGCAACAGATTCGCGTTTCACAGTGCAAAGAACCTGCGGAAATTCGCCGAAAACTAGCATCTTACAAGAACGGATACCGCAGATCGCTGACGCAGCAGATTCAAGTTCCGTGGTGCAATAAACACGCGGGAACCCGCTACAAACTTGCCAGTCATGAGAACCGATATCGCGCATGCAGATTTCATACAAAAACGCGGGAATCCGCTACAAACTCGCATGTCACGGGAATGAATACCCCAGATCGCGGACACAGCAGAATCGCATTTCACGATGCATGTGAGGATGGCAGCTTGGGTGAGTTGGTGCTATAACACTGTCGGAATTGAGGGTGTGAGGCTGGCTTTACTATGCGGGATCTTTGAGGCAGAAAGGATTGCACGGCTTAAAGATTCATGTGTCAGTGCCCCGTCCTTGACGTTATTAAACAAAGAGCAAGAATTTTCGGCGCGTGGGGAGATGAGACGCCAGTGAGATTCGGAAAATATTGTTGCGCCTCTTGCGAAGACAAAGAATGTAAAGCAATTTTGCAATCCTCGTTCCTTGCACATTAACCCAAAAATACAATTGAGTTGCAAGGCAACGCTGTGTGTCTCTTGGGTGTGTGTCCTGTTTATTTATTTATTTATTTATTTATTTATTTATTTTACCCTCAGGGCATGAGCATTACAGAGGGGGAAGTGGTTGCATGAGTTAAAAAAAAAACACAGACACAGATACACAGGAAAATACAATCAGTGAAGATCAGAAAAAAATGCGTTCCAAGGCTTTTTTAAAAAGAACATGATCTATGATGGAGACTACGGGTGCAGCCAGGTGGTTCCAGTCAAAGGATGTAGACGGTATGAAGGAATGGTGAAAGACGTTGGTGCGAGCATATGGGATGCCAACTTTGTGTTGATGGTCAAGTCTAGGTGAAACGTAAAGAGGAGGTATAATTAAATTATTACGCAGCGTGTCATTAGTGAAATAAATTTTATGAAACAAACTGAGACGGGCTACTTTTCTACGGGTTGATAATTCAGGGAGAGAAAGATTAGATTTCATAGTGCTTACGCTGGCAGTCCGATGGTAATTTGAAAATATAAATCTAACTGAACGATTTTGGACGGCTTCAATCAGATCAATTAGTACAGACTGACCAGGGTCCCAAACAGAACATGCATATTCAAGCTTTGATCGTACGAGGGTTTTATGAAGAATTAGCTTCAAAGACTGGGGTGCTAAAAAAAAATTCCTTTTAAGAAAACCTAGCATGCGATTAGCGTTGTTAATGATGTAGTTAATATGAGTCCTTCATGATAAATCAGATGTAATATGAACTCCTAAATACTTATAGACCGTAACTAATTCAAGGGGATGGTTATTTAGCGTATAATGGGGCTGAGATGAAGTACAACGGGACACTCTCATAACCTTACATTTGCTGGAATTTAGTACCATAGACCATGAGTCGCACCAGTTTGTAACAGAGTTAATATCGTTTTGTAGTATGTTAGAGTCAGAATCATTAGTAATTTCTCGATAAATAACGCAATCATCAGCAAATAAAGACATTTTTGAGGATACATGAGAGGGTAGCTCGTTAATGTATATAAGGAATAATAACGGACCGAGCACAGAACCTTGAGGAACACCTGATGTTACTGATACCATAGCAGAGCTTCTGTTATTTACGCTGACAAATTGTTTACGATTCGTTAGAAATGATTGTATCCACGTGAGAACCGCCTGATCAATATTTAGTTTACTAAGCTTGGACAAGAGCAAGGTATGAGGCACTTTATCAAAGGCCTTAGAGAAGTCTAGAAATACGCAATCTACTTTGGAGCAAACGTCAACGATGGAATGAAGGTCGTGCGTGAATGATACAAGTTGTGTTTCGCATGAGAATGTCTTTCGAAAGCCGTGCTGGAAGGGGCAAAAAAACTTATTTGATTCTAGAAAATTGACTATGTTAGAATAAATGATATGCTCTAAAATTTTGCTTGGGACACTGGTCAATGAAATCGGGCGAAAGTTTCGAGGGTTGAATTTATCACCTCCTTTGTGAACTGGGACCACCTTGGCTACCCTCCAGTCGTCTGGCAAAATACCTTGCTCTAAAGACTGGGAAAATATGCTCGCAAGAAGAATGGAGGAGTACATTCTAGTATTCTTCAAAAACTTGGAGTTTATACAGTCTATACCACATGATGAGGATAGTTTAAGGGAATCGATTATGTTCACAATGCCTTCAGGACTAATTGATATGGGGTACATTGGGAGGTAGTCATAGGACATGTATGTTTGATCATTATTTATAGGGAGGTCAGAAAAACAGCTGATAAAAATAGCATTGAGTTCATTGGCACACTCTTCACAAGAAATAGGGCTACCATCATCGGCTCTGAGCTCTACAACTGTACTACTTTTCTCTTTCGTGGTGTTCCAGAATTGACGGGGGTTATTAATTAGCATAGACGGTAATGTAGAATTAAAGTAAGTACTTTTCGCACTACACACAGCTGCCCTGTACAAATCAGCAGAGGCATGGTATGCGTCCCATCGGTCAGCTGTGGGTTTGCGCTTAGCGGCGCGGAAAAAACACTTTTTCTTGTTTCCAAGTCTCCCGATTGTTCTAGTGAACCATGGTGCATTTGAGTTCGAGTAAATTCTTTTGAGTGGGATGTGCGACTCAAGGAGCTCATTTACTTTTAGTTTGAATATATTCCAATTTTCGTTAACAGAACGCCTGAAAAAACCACTTAGAAAAGTGTCTAAAAACAATGCCAATTCACAGTTAATAGCATTGAAGTTTGCTTTACTATAATCCCGTATTGTTTTAATAGTATTGGAAGTAGCTTGTAAAGGTATATTTAAATCAATATGTAGCAAGCAGTGGTCGCTCAAACCAGGCAGGTACAAAATAGATGATACTAAGTCTGGACATGTTGTCAACACAAGATCTAAAATATTTGCGGAGGTAGAAGTAATTCGTGTAGGTTGATCAACTAGTTGAGAAAAATTGAACTCGGAACATAAGTTAATGAAATCATTCCCTTCTGATGAAAATGGGTGGACAGTAGGTGGCGTAGTAGACCACTTAATGCTAGGATAATTAAAATCACCGAGGAGAATAATTTGTGACGTAGGAAACCGACTAACGATTGCATTAACCGAATCATGTAATTGTTCACAAAAGGAAGACGAAGCGTTGGGTGGTCGATAGCACACACCCAAAATTAATTGCTTGTAGTTTACAGTTACGCTGACCCAAAGCATTTCCAAGTCAGTTAAAACATCGACAACGTTTGAGACTATACCATCGGCCACAGCTATAAGAACTCCACCACCCATTCTTTCACCTCGATCCTGCCGATATACGTTAAATTTCTTACCGCACGTAAATATTTCACTGCTCGAAATTCTACTAGATAGCCATGTTTCAGTTAACAAAATAATTTCGCAGTCAGAAGAATCAATAATTGAACTAAGATCGTCTCGGCAGCGCATGACGCTCCGAATATTGCAAAAGAGTAAAGGAACATCACGTGCCTTGAGGCAGCGGCTTGAACC